CCACCTCAGCCGTCAAAAAAAAAAGAAGCCACAGAGCCTGGTCTACTCATGATGAATGGGAGCTCTGTTTCTGATTCCTCCGGTCTTTTGGGTGCAACAGGGGAACAGATGGGGCAGAGGGAACGGTGGAGTTGCTGCAGTTGCTTAGGTGGAGGTTAGGAAAGCACCAGCTTTTCTTACTGTTTCACTCCCCACTTCATCTGGAGCCTGAACCTTCACCCAGAGCACAGTCGGTTGGCAGCAGCCACCAGGCTGTGCCCCGGCCTGGTGAACCCACGGCAGGTTTGGCAGAGTCTTTTTGGCGCTGGGTCTTCACGGGTGGAGGGCCCACGTCTGCAAAACTTGCATCCTCCTCTGTGGGGCAGAAGGGAGAAGGAGGAGGGAGGGGCAAGGCTTTTTTACAGCGCACTGAGCCGATTCTACCTGAATTATGTGGTGTTTCTGCTTCACTTTACCTCACGGGAGGCTTTTTCTGACTGGAATCTGTCACTGCAAGAAATTGTTTCCCAAAAGCGGCACAATTAGGGGTCGGCTTTGCAAACATTCTTGGTGGAATTGAGAGGCAATTGGCACAACCCAGTGAATAATCCTTTTAGCAGCCTTTATGAACCCAGCACAATGGCTGTTTACAGTTTCCCTTATAGACCAGGAGTGTTAACAGACCTTTAGAAAACTCCAGGTAATTGAAGCTTTTGTCTTTCAATGAGCCCCCGTAGCTGTCAACAGTTGCCATTCTCCACGTTTTCTTTAACTTTTTTGTTTTGACAAGGGCTTTTGTCCCTCCGACAGCGGCTGCGTGGGAGGTGAGCACCGGCGGGGCGGCGGAGGAGCCGGCGCAGCCTTGGCCTGCTCCGCCTTCGCAGGGGAGCGCCACGGGCCTCCTCCTCGCCAGGCCAGAGTAAGTTGTCTTTTAAGACACAGAAAATCCTCTGGGTCAAACCAAAGTTTCCCCTATGACTTCATTATGCATTTAAACGTCCCGGCAGTGCAACGCGCCAGCCTCGGTCTCTCTTTGTCGACCCAGGGCTTTGCAGGGGCGGGCAGCGGAGGCGAGGAGGCTGGAGAAGAGCAGGTGCGTGGAGACTGAAGGCTGTTACCACAGAAACTGAACCAGCCCATTGAAATCGTGTTTTTTAACACACACCCCCCCGAAGGGAAGGGGTCACCAGCGGTTCTGTTTTTCGCAGATCTCTCCGGGTGGGTTTGGTTTTGCTGTCGTTGGTTTTTTCGGTGCTTGTTGCGTGTTCAGCAGCCTGTGGGTTCCTGTTTCTCGATGTGAATGTGGGAGCCTGTTTCTTTAAAATAAAAAGAAGAAAACCTATGTGAGTTCTGAAGCTTGGGGGTTTTTTTCCACCACAGCTGGCTGTATTTTCTTCAGGAGTCAGTGGGAGATTAACATGGGTTGGTAGCCATGAGTCTCAAGCTCTCCATTTTCCAGGAATGCTGTATGTTAAGCAGAAGTCCAAATTTTATAAATAATGGTGTGTTAATTCTTCTCCCCCGATATCTCATCATGTAGACTGCTTAGTAGCTTTGGGTCAATTTGGGACTTCATTCTCATGTGGATTAAGATGTGGTATTTTGGTGGTTTAAAAGCGGTGGGAATCGCTACAGGGACAGTTTGTGTGCATGAGTGAGTCCTACGTGGCTGGGAGAGGTGGGAGAAGACAGCTATTTCATAAGGCAAACAAGAAATTACACAACTTGCGGTCAGAAATACAGTTTTTAAAGCACCCGTCTTGCAGTCGCAGCCGTACGGTGGGCTCTGTGTCCGCACAGAGCCGCATTCGCGTGTGGATCTGCATCCACAGCCCCGCTGGCTTCTTCAGTTGCAAGACTGATGCGGTCATGATTAAAGTAAGGAAGATGTAAGCTAAAATGAAACAAAATTCTTCGCTGTCCTTTCCATTTTAAAAACAATTAATTATGGAGTATTTACAGATCCTGAATGGGGAAAAATGTATCCTCAGAGAGCAGATGTTTGCTTCATTCATATGTCTGTTTATAAAATTTAGCATGTGGATTTGATGGTTCACTGGCTTTTTGCAACTTTCACTTATCCACATGAGACAAAGTTGCATATTGGTACAAAGCAAAATTAGGCATCTAAATAAAGCAATTCTGCACCTTTTAGTAATGCAAACCATCTGTAATAGGTTTTTATACTCATTATAGGCATACAAATTTTTGAGGTCAAATCTGTTTTCAACAAGAAAAAGCCTTGTCCTCTTTTTTTAAAATATCATAATGCAGTAAGAAATAGGAAGACAAGTTTTGTTACAAAAACAGAGAGCAAGACTAAAATACTACATTGTATTTGAATAATAATGGTTACTAAAGTTCCCCAAAATTGTTTACATCTGCTCTCAAATATTTTTAAGCTAAATTTATTAAGGTTTACAATACAGCAGTTTTATTAAACCAGGGCTCATAGGCAACAGCATCTGACTTTTAATGATCATTTTGAATGTTTTCTAGTCAATATATTTCTGAGTTTAATTTATTTGATTTTTTTATTACTTCCGTGTATCATTCTTTAAGTCCCTGTAAGAATTAAAATTTGTATTGGTGTTGCCTAAGCATACAATTTTAAGCAACACAGGGCTGAGTGTACTAATTTTTATGCCACTTTTGTAATGGGTGTAATTCCATTGTAACATGCTTTAGTCTGAACTGTGCAGGTTGAATCACATCATCAAAATATTCTGCCTCTAAAATGTGAGTGTGCGGGTTGAATGAGCACAATGATTAAAACAGTTACTTAGGCTACTTCAGCGTAGACCAGGTTTAAAAGGTAAAATAACGTGGTCTTCGTGACCCACTCAGTTATGTTAGTAGTCTGGGGGAATGCACACTCCCTGCAGCATTGTGACTTGATTTCAGCCCCCGGGTGGAGGTGAAAGGCTTCCCTCGAGTCAGCTGGCATTTCTCAAGAGCATGTAAATAATAACAAGTGTACTGCTGTGACTGCATCTTCCCCCATCCCCACCTTGTTTTTGATGAATGTGTTGCTTTGTCAGCATGAATTAGCACTGTCTTGAGCAAGCACAAATGCAGCAGGTACTGAGGCAGCCTTTGCCCGGCAAACCTGTTTCAGCGTGTCTCACTGGTGATGGACAATTAGTCCCATTCCAGGCCCAGAGCAGAGACTTCTAGTTGTTCGTGGTTACGTGGCATGGGTTTGGGAGAGTCGGCAAATGGCTGCTGCTGATGATTTATCAGGACTGATTTTACTTTTGATCTGAATGTCTGGTTTGTGAAAAGCCAGAAACTCTGTTTCCTATAATAATTTCCATAAAGCCCAGTGATGGAATAAAAGTCCCCCAGAAAGGCACAAACAGCTTACGGGAAGGTATTTGCTAAAGGCGTGGCTATCATGTTCTTATCTTCCATGCACAAAGTAATTGGTTAGGGCTTAATGCAGTCTGCTGGCATTACACTGGTTATTCTCACAGGACTTGCCCACCCACTGCTCCCCGGCCCCTGCAGAGCAGTGTCCTGCCTTCCTGTAATTTCTTCCATTTTTGCTTCAGGTTCTTTTTTTCCCAGAATGGTTACAGATACAATTAGATCTGCGTGCATCCTTCTAAACAGTTGGATTTCTCTGTGAAAAACGTGCTGTGGATCAGGTGGGGCAGTGTAAAATGGTTTCATTTTGAAAGAAAAAGGGTTCTGCTTAGTCAAGACTATAGAAAAACAGGTTCCTTAAACCACGCGTTTCCACTGCAGTTAAATGGAAACAAGGAGTCAGCGGGGAAGCTGAGCAGTCTTCACTGCAGAATCACTGTGGGACAGCCCTCTGCTGTATCGTGGTTCTTCGTGTGCTCGGTGTGTTTCAGAGAATTTAAGAGTAAAAGGTTCCTCAAGTGTTTGGGGTCAACCATTTTGTGTGCCAAATAGAAGAAAAAGAGATTAAATAGTCTCCCAAAAATCTGCAGAAAACTAAGAATGTAACAGCTGCAATTTCTGCTTTGTAACTTTAGGATAAAAGGGTGTCACAGGAAAGATCCCCCTTCCCCGCTCTGTGAGGAGCAGGAGGAGCTGGACAAAATGACCAAACAGATCTATTCCTCCTTCTACATTCGTGACACCGAAGCATGTGCATTCTCATGGGCCATTTCCACATTTGTAGCTTGTCATTGCTGGCCTGCAGAGTCCCCTCTTGTTGAGCCAGTGAACTCAATAGGGTGCTGCCAGTTCTGGAAACCCAGCCGGACCATCCCCATCAGCGGCTGGCTGAAGGAGAAAATTCCCCTTGGGCACAAAAGCTGTGAAACGCACCGGCCACTTTCTGTCAGTATAACAGACACCAAGAGATTTATTTTTGTTCCCGATTGTAAATCTTTCTCAGTTCCAGCCAACAAGATGTGCGTGTCCTGAAATGTTCGGTGCTCAACTTATCTTTCCATCATTTGTGCTGTGAAAATAGAGCATTTCATTTTCAGAGGCTGTAAGAGATTACACTCTAAAACTCTTTAAGTAAACACTTCCTCCTGGGATCATGATCTCATTCAAACTAAAAAATGTACCAGAATTTATGATGTATTTTAATTACTATTCTTGGTACCACTCATTAAATTAGAAATTGATTGCCAGTTTCACAGTTTCCTTGTTAGATGACAAAGTGCTTATCAAGGTGAAGCAATGCAAAACTGTTACTATATATTCCACAATTTGGGATGATAAAAAGGCATGCTTTTTGTTGTGGTATTCATGTTACAGTTGTTATTATAATGCTTCGCCGATTGTCTTATTTGTTTAAAGTTCCCTTTCCCCCGTCCAAGTAAGAGTATACCATATTTTTGTATAAGAAGAGAGAAATTGGCTTTGTCTGGTTTATGCTAGCAATCTAAAAGGCATTACTGCAAACATCGAAAGTGTGTTTCATTGAACTGAGAACATCATAAACAGCTATCCTAAAGATTTAAGAGGATGATGCAAAAGATCCCTGTACGTAAAGGTGTTTCTCAAAATCTTTTTTTTCTCTCTCTAATCCACAGTGTGACAGCGAGAGTGATATTGACGATAAGGTAAGACTGAATTTTCTTCTTTCATGTGCCTTACTAGCTTGGCAATTCCCTCATAGTCAAAATAAGAATGAATTTGAAAATAATATTTTTCCTCCAGTCTTCATGTCAGATTTAAAAATATCTATAATTGACTGAAAGAATATTGGAGCAGGTACTCTGTGATCCTCACTAGTTTTTGTTTACAGAAAAGAAACTTCCATTAACATAATAGCCTTTCTTGATTATTATGTGAGCATTTGGTGAGACCTGAGTCAGAGTGTTAGTGCTGTTTCAGAGGAAGTCACCTCTGATAACTTGTCAGGAGCCCATATTTTATTTATAGTAACCTTTGAAGATGTCAATTTTGTAATCCGTTTAGAAGATGGGACAACTGGTACCTACCCTCAAAGGCAGTGTGGTAACTGTCAAGGAGTGTTTTGTCATGTTGCATGCATATTTATCACAGAGCAATGATTTTTCTGACCTTCTTTTGGATACAGAGGTTGGTCATTGAAGGGTTGTAGTTGTGTGTTTCTGTATAGGGATTTCTTGTTTCACCTTTGCAAGGAAAACAGAGAAGTCCCGATACGCAGCGACAGTTGCACCATGCTTTTAAGCATCAAATGTATAAAAGACTTGAGCATCCCTTGCTGACTTCTCTTCTGGCAGAGCAAACTTGGCAGTCTCAGGTTAGATCTTCATCAAACTTTTATTACATTTTGGCTGTCCAGTCTCTTGCATTCATTCATGAGAAGCTGTGGCACGGAGGTTTCTGCTGGATCAGCATTACCAAAGTAAAGGCTGACTTCAGATAGCCCTGTCTCCTTGGCAGCGCACTTGGCTGCAGCCATACATCGGAGGTTACCATGAGTTCAGGAGACTACACTAAAAGCTTCTTCTGGTTAAGTTTTTTTTCTTTTTTTTAATATTGTTAGAGCTTGGGAAGCATTAAGGTTTCTTCAACTTCTTCTTTTAAAAATCCCATCAGATACCAAATATCCCTGGACTATGGCAAAAGCTGTGTTTTGGGATGAAGGCTTGACTGAAGAGAAACATTGAAATCATAAATGTTGAATGAAAGATACTGTATATTTTATTTTATTTTATTTTCTATATGTGTATGTATGTATAAAGTCACTCCCTGAAACCACCCCCACCCCCTGAGTTCTGTTTCTTACAAGGTTACTCAGCAGCAGAGCTGATGGCAGGGGTGGTGAGGGTGAAAAATTATTCCCTAAAAGCTTAGTTACCATGGGGTTAAAGCATTTCTTAGACTGCCCAATCAAAGAAAGTAAAAGCAATCACTTAGAAAACTGTTTAAAGATCTGCCAGTCAAACCTCAGATGAAGTTGTAAGTGACATGTAGTTTTATTATACAGCTATGCTATTAATGATTATCTAAATTACACTGGTAGACCCAGCGAGCGGCATTACATCTGAGACTGACGTTTGTTAGATTAGGTTTGACTTCACCTTGTAGAGAAGAAATTGAAATCTGAACAACATTGATTAGCTTTCAGAATGTGGGATCTGAGGTTACCTTCAGAGGAAGCTGCATTGTGTTTGGCTGGTAACTTACTGTCCTTTACAGCAAATGAAAGGCTATTACAGTGCTCCTTACCATTAATATGGCATTTCTTTACATATCTGTAACTGTAATTTGACCTTCTAGGCTCACATATTTCCCAGCTACCTTCTCCTTAAGGTGACTCCACCTTAATAATAACACTTCTTTTCTTCATAAGGAGAGCAGCACAAGATCATCATCTTTCTATCTCTTGCCTGATCTATAGAGACATGAGACATGACATCGGTTCTATTAAATAGGTCTCTGGAATAAAGTAGGGTTGCTTTTCTTGTCAGCAAAGATGTGTGCACATGCATCTCACAAACTCACCAAAGTTGAAGTGAAGAGGCTTCAAACCTTTCCTGGGGATAATGTAAATGCAACATTGCCTTCCAGTTGGGGAACGCAAGGGCAGCCTGGTGCTCTCTGTTGATACCTGACATACTATACTCCCCTGGAAACACATTCAGTATTTGTCTAAAACTTAACCTGGCTGATGCAACAAGGAACTATAAAAATATTGGCATGAATGTCCTGAGGGATTACACTGAAGAGTGTTTTTCCCCCTTCCATGTGTTGGAAAAATGTATCTTCTAATAATGCTCTCCGGCTATTGCAGCCAGATGGAGTATTCGACATACTGTCTAGCCCAGCGTCAGGCTTCCCAAATTACATGATGGGTCGGCTTCATTTCACAGCGCTACAGAACAATCCTGCTTTCCTGCTTGGTCAGCAAGAAGCAGCTTTGTCTAGGTACACCTACGCGCGCTGGCACTAATGAAGGGCAGGGCAGGAATTACTAATGTACTTTTGATTTGCATAACACTTTTTGTTAGTCATAAACAGCGGATCACTGTCGTCTGTATATAACTCATGAGGAAAGCAGACAAAAAAAGAAGTTCATGTACAAGTATCAACTGAGTCAGTGATAGAGCTAGAAGCAAAACTGAAATTTTCCACCTCCTACTTCTCTCTCTGTACCATGCTACTAATTATCCACTATTTGTTTCGTTCATAGGTATATGGACTATTGAGCTCTTAATGTTTTAAAACATAGACGTTAGAGTAAAATTAAGGCTTTACCCTCACTGCATTGATAAATATAAACACACTCCTGGTGGTTTTGGTTTTTTCCCTGTGCGGTGTTGTGCAGGACTCCAGGGGAGAAAAGTAATTGAGCGTAGTCAGTCATACATACAGTATACCAGAATCGAGGAGCCATTACTTTAGTGCGAGGTACAGTTTCACAGCAGATTGTGAGAGTGTTTCCAAACAGTGCGCTGCTGTTTTTAATAATCGGAGAACAGGAGCTCAAGGCTGGGGACTTGTCCATCCCATCTACTTTCTGAGAACTGTCTCTGGCCAAGTATAGCCTTTCACTTCTGCATCACTGCTGAAATCTCAAAGGAAGTAAGTGGGATGATACTTTCTCACACCTATCATTCTGTCATCACATGCTTCTTGAACTGTTCGAAATACCCAAACTAATAAAGTGAGCTGTCCAGCCATTTAACCAAGCGAGAAACTTAGCAAATCATGCGTTCCCAGAGATGGAAATGCAAATCCTGTTTCTGTTACTGTATGTTCATTGAAGGACATCGGTTTGGACTCTGCAACTGTTAGGAGAATTGCAGGGTTGTTTGCTGAAGCTGTGGAAATGATACTGTGCTTTTTGTGAGGTAGGAGGGAGAGAAAGGGAGTTAGTCTGATAATCGTATTACACTATCTCCACACTGTGCAATAGCTACGATGTGAGGCTCACGGTCCATAAACATTGTTACTGAAAATATATACTTCCTTTAATAGCAACAACAGCATTAACAGATAGCAATTACCCTTCATTTTCAGGAACTATAAAGTCTCCATTAATTCAAGATTTATGTAGTTATAGCATTTAGCACAGGAATAACACCACAGAGAATTGGTTTATACACATGTAATGAGAGAGCTTATGGCATACTTTAGTGAACATTAACATAATAGAGTAATATAAACCATCAACAGTTCCACTTATTGTCTCTTACCTGCTTTAGCATCACTGTGAAAAGTGGCTAGCAGCTTGGTAATGTGCTCTGTTAAATGGTGTTCTGCAGAAAGCCAAAAGTCAACTTGTGTAAAATAAGGGAATGAGTAATCTCTGCTCATTACTCCAAAATGTTGCTCTCATTTTTTTAATAACAATGTTCAAGATTGCATTAAAAAAAGCCCGTTTCTTTCTTTCAAAGTAATTCAGTGTTCATGTTCTTTCAGTCTTGGACTTCTGTCTGCTGTGTGCTAAATTGTGGGTTGTCAGCTTAATTACATGGCCCCGCAGTGTAAGCGAGCTCTCCAAATCAGGGATTAGGTATCAGGCATTCCTTCATTTAATGTGGTGCTAAGTAAGATGTACAAAAAATGACGCTGTATTTCTAAGTTGAATCGGTATTTACCGTATATTTGTTCTGTAGTTTGTGTTTTCGCTATATCAAACAACTTTTGAGACTGGTAAAGCTATATCCAAGGTGGAAGCAAAAAGTTTTGAAGTCAGGTTTGTAAAACGGTGTTTTCACACTACTTTCTGCAACAGCACAGCGAGTTTATTAGGCCTGGCTTGCGGCGATGTGAATTCAGCCTTGCCATGCTGTTGTTTGCTGTGCTAATTCCTGAGTCCCAGTAGGTGCCTGGAAGCGTGCAGCAGCACATGAGCAGGTGCAATTTAGCACTTGATACATGGGAGAAGAGCAGTAGTGGTATGATCGCTCCACCACGGGCTGGGTTCCCGTCCTGCTATGTGCCATGTAGATGCAGAACAGCTCGTGGCTTAAGGATGAGATTAGAGACAGTGAAGAGACTGAGATAAATGGGGGGACACAGTGTTAACAGCAGCACTGTTTCAGTACGTCAGCAGCCTCGTTGTTGTCCAGCTTTGGTTTTGTAGGTATTAAGGTAAAGGGGAAGGTTTTAGGAGGCATTTGAGAAGGAAAATCAGGTAGCTTTATGGCCGTGAATGGGAAGTTATTCTCTGTAGCGAAAGGCACAGTGGTAAGTAGTAGGGAGGTGCTTATTTGAAAGTTTAACGAAGGGGTAATCAAGTCAGACCAGTGAGAGATGAGAGTTTACATCGATACTGAGTGTCAGTGTCGGGAAGAAGAGGTAAGCTGTGAAAGAGTCAAAACATGAAGAGTGGTAGTTTGCAATTCGGGAAGTGGGAAGCTGTGCAGGGAGCACAGCCAAGGAATAGGAAAATGATCTTGTGGCAGCTTATTCCTTGGCACAAGGACACAGTTACATCTGCCATCACCAGAGGAAAGGATAAAATGGCGAATGAAAGGTGAAGTAGCGAGAGCTTGACCAGAAACTTAGTTGTGTGGATGAACAGAGGATGCTTATTATGTTATAGAGAAAAAGGATATACAGGACTTAAACATAGGTTGGATGTCAAGGTGTAGGGAGTGGTGTGAGTCAAAGACAGCAC